GGCAGCAGCGGTGGCAGTCATCCCAGCAGTCGCAGCAGCAGCAGAGAGAACAGTGGCAGTGGAAGTGTGGGCGTGCCCATCGCCGTGCCAACTCCTGCCCCGCCCACGGCCTTTCCCGGTGAGATTTCCTCTCTTTGTGTAAGAGCCCCGATATACTTCAAGTGAAATCGAAGAACGAACTGGTGTGATGTCATTCAGAACGAAATGAAAACGAAGTTTGTTTCGGGAGTGCTAGTATAAATTGAAGCTGTACTGGCATTGTTTTTCATGTTTAACATTGTATAGCTGCTAGTTTTAAAGCAGTGTCTTGTATAAAGTGCTATAAAAATAAATTTGATGTGACTTGATTTGAGTGCCGTCATGTGCAAACTAAGGGTTGAATGACTTCAGATTTTTAAAAGTCGACATTTATGCGATTAAAGTCAAGTTGATATTGTCGATTCGCTGATGACGTCATTAATAAACAAATAAGCCTAAATGACATGACACAGCACTGCCCACAAGGCTATTGCTCCTACATATCAGCTTATTTTTACCAGTTATTTTATCTTTGGATCGTTACGTTTCTCGCACATTTCTGCTTGTTCTAAATCAGATACTGATAAAGTAGTACAGTAAAGATTACATGCATACGAAAGCATTAGTGAGAGAGCGATTGCATGTGAATTAATTCCACCTGGCAACATCTCTACTAATAGTGAAGCTGTGGATTTTAGTTACCAACAATCTTTTCAGTTTCTAAGCTATTTTATTGATAGATCACTGCACTATTGAATGTTTCTGTGTGCACATGATCAGCACTCTGTCTGTTTGTGCATGCGTTACAATGCAGCAGCACATTAATTTAGAACGGTGAATTTTGAGCATCTAGATGGTATAATCAAACGTATATTGTGGAGCACTCTCAGAGTATGCACTTATTTGTCATTTTACGGAGCGTGAAGGTGGACTTCAAAGATTGTGCCCTCTATAGGCCACGATCAAGCTTAAAGAATCATGGTAGAGTAATCGACTAGTCTTTGAATCCGCTATTCAAACATATTAACATCCTTTAATAGGATCAGATGCTTTCTTAAAGGGATAGTTCACCCAAAAATGAAAATTCTGACACTATTTACTCACCCTCATGTTGTTTCAACCCCGTAAGACCTTCGTTCATCTTCGGAACACAAATTAAGAAATGTTTTTCGAGAAAAGTGTTCTCGTCACTTGATAAAGTTAAGATTGAGCCACTGTAGACACTTGAACTATTTTAACGATGTCTTTAATAACTTTTCGAGGCCGGAAAGTTTCAATTCCTCAAGAAGCCTATGGACTAGTATGGAGGAGTGATCCAGCTCTCAGATTTCATCAAAAATATCTTAATTCGTGTTCCGAAGATGAACGAAGGTCTTACGGGGTTGGAAAAACATGAGGGAGAGTAATTACTGACAGAACTTTCATTTTTGGGTGAACTAACCCTTTAACTGCTTTTTTCTCACCACTGTCATTTTTGTTGTTTATTGTGTTATTGAGAGGAAAGTTGAACAAAAACACCTTGCTGTGAGTATATCAAGGCCTTAAGTATTAGTACATGAGTCCAAGGTTCTGAAGGAAGTATCTTTGCTACATTGAAAGTGCTATTTCCTGTCCCACTATTAGCGATGATAACTTCTCTTTCTGTTCACTACTTACCTCTTTTTTCACTCGCTGTTCCTATCCCTCCTCCCTGTGGCCTTGTTTCTCCTTTCGACCTTTCTTCCCTCTGTTCTGTCACTCTTGTTCTCTTCTCCCCTGGGCTTCCTGTCTCTGTGTGGCTTGCGGAGCTGCAGGTACAGCACCCGCCCCTCCCAACCCTCCGAAACCCCCTCCAAGCGTTACTATCCCTGCCCCTCCCGTACCCCCGCCACCACCCACCCCAGAGCCAGTGCCCCCCGCCCCTGCCCCTCCTCCCCCCACCCTGCCAGCAGAGGGCCCTCCTGAGATACCACCACCCCCACAGCTGCCCCCCAACCTTCCTGTTAGCACCAACACCAACCCTGCTGCTGCAACTAGCACCCCTGCTCAAGGTGAGTCCCCTCACCCCCCTCCTCAAGTCCATCGTTCATCTTTGAGTGACAACCTGCACGTGAACATACGTGATGCGTGATTCACCCAGCACTCATCCCTCCTCCACCTCACCCAGGTTTCACCTGCATGGGCTTGGTTTGTCTTGGCTCACTGTGCATCTCCAGTTCTTGGCAGGATTACATTTCCCAGTGACGTCTCCATCACATCATTTGGTCCATCTCTGCTTCCTGTACATGCTTCTTAGGGACTGTTTTGGGACTATTTACTTTTAATGATGAGAAGGGACAACATTTTTACATGGATAAAGGTTATATATATTGTTTTCCATAGCTCTGTTCAAGAACTAATGAGCTACCTACCTAGACGGAATTTTAAGACAGGATTTCTAAGGAGCATATATTGCCTTATAGGATCCCTCTTTTTGGCTAATTCATTGTATTTTATGTCATTCATTGCTAAAAAGTGTTCAGTCTGATCAAAATACACTGTTTCACTCAGTATTGGTGCGTGCAATGTAAGGAATGTACAGTCAGCCTCAAAGCCGTTCATTATTTTGTGATTAATGAAGGCTGACTCTGTGCTGTCACGCTTATTACATGGCTACTTGCCAATTAAATAAATAAAGAGAGTGAGAAAGATAGTTTGATTAGAGCATGTCTTTAGTTCATTCCATATACCGTTGAATGTGCCATGGTCTACTTATTGTGTATTCCATACTGATTCAGAGATGTACCAACAGAATTAGTTTTATTATTTCTTATGTCTTTATCCCCTAGGCAACGGACCTCACTTTTACAGTATGAACCGGCCAATGACGCGGCACCCCACGCCCTCTGTGGGAGGTTCCCTGCCCTATCGCCGGCCGTCATCAGTTACTGGACAGCCCAACAACATGCCTCAAAACACTAATCCAAACATGATCCAAAACCAGCTCAATGGAGGGCCACACTACAACCTAAACCAAGGTAGAGACCAGACATGCTCAAATGTCCTCATATAATGGTAGAAAATAATTACAATACTTAGAATTCATGTCATTTAAACCAGTGGACTCGGTCTCACCGACTTGATCTGATTGTTCTCTCTCTTTTCTTTCTTTTGCCATCTTCCTCTCTTGTCCTTCCCTTTGTTTCTCCCACATTTTTTCACACTTCACTTTCTTGCTTTTTTTCCCTTCTGTACCAAATTGTCCCTATTGTTGGGGTGGGCAGCCCCTATGGCCCCTCCACCCCCCTCTATTCTCCAGATCACCCCCCAGCTACCACTCATGGGCTTTGTGGCTCGGGTTCAGGAGACCAGTAAGTTATTGGTTTGGGAAAAATGTTTTTGTGTTTGACTGGTTCTGCATGCTCTTTAAAGAGCTCCTATCATAGCATTTGAAATGTTCCTATTTTTGTTTTGGGAGTTCCCAAAAACAGTTTAACGTGCATGCAAGGATAAAAAACACTTTATTTGTCTTTTAATACGCATTTATTTTTACCTGATTTGCTCAACGACTCCCAAATGATTCGTTCGACGATTCATTTTCCCAAACACCTCCTTTGAGTGACGCGAATCTGTGGCGATTGGTCAAATGACCCAGTCAGTTGTTATTGGTAAACCGTAGGCAGAGATTGTCGGAAACGGAATACCCATCACCATTGATGGATTATAGCTTGTCAAGTGTTGTGAACAAACGTGTCAGAAAAAGTGCACTTTCCACACGGTTACTTACTCGCGTGTCCGTCAAGAGTGAGCTTTCCTGGCGAAACTCACATTGCGGCGGCTTTTGAGGGGCAGTGCTTATTATATAGAGCGAAGTCATATTTGGCTAAGTCGCTTAGGAGGTAATTGCCATTTTTCAGTGAATGTCTGGTGAATATCAAAAACCAAACTAACTTTACCCCGCTTAGAAGCTGCGCGGAGTGTACAAAACGCACACAACAGAATATAACTATATTGTGCATGCTACAGTAAACATAACAGCAAACATTATTAATATTACTTACAGATTGTGATTCGGAGGAGGACGAACCTGATCCATATACACTGGATACTGAGCCCTCCTTCGGGAACAACTGGCTTTATGTTTTTGAATGATTCGTCATTAAAATGATGAGAATACAAAGTTCGGGCTATACTGTTGTGGTATCGTTGCAAATATGAACTCTAACCACTGATTCTTCACATGCTCGTCCCTGGGCAATGAAAACAAGTGGCTGAACTGTCTTAGCAATGTAGAACACAGCGTCTTCTCAACATGATGCGATTCTGCTGAAGTATTCGAATGTGTTCTAGACTTCAAGTTCCGTTTGCGCGCCGTGAGCTAATGTTTTGTATCTACGTCACGACGTAACAGCTAATGACTCGTTTCAAAAACAATTTATTTCATAGACTCAGAGTCGACTCTCACTTTTGAAAGACAATAACTTTATATACGGTGCACTTTTAGGTATAAATCTTTGCAGGATATTTTCACACTACATGAAAAATCCATGATAGGTGCTCTTTAAACATTTGCATGCTCATTTTAGACATTAGTGTTGTAAACTCCCTGCATGTCCTCACCAGCTGTAATGCAATTAGATTCCAGTGGCAAAAGACAAGCTTACAAAACTCAACAGAATTATTGTTTTTGTTTATGAGAATTATTTATAAAATGCATACATACTCTGTGACTTTGTCATGAATACACTCTGTTTGCTCACAGAGTTCACAGTTTTAACTAGTGTTATCACGATACTGGAGTGTCTAAATTCGATACGATACCTTGGAAAATATCGATATTCAATACCACTGGGAAAACTGCCTTATAGATATTTCATTTGGGTACATTTGTTGCAATTGCTTACACAAGGAGGCTTTTTTTGAAACACTGAACTAAATTTACAACAAACAACAAGTGAGTAACAAAATAAAAACATAAACAAATTGCAAACGATAGCACAAATAAATAATATAGAATATAGAGACAGGTTGGTGCGAGTAAGAAACCTGCGGGAATGAGTAAAATTATGCTTTATACCTGCAACCTTGTTGTTCCGAATTATGTGACCCTAGTAGGCGCTGTGTTGAGCTAATCTGACCTGCTCCTTATCCCAATCCTAACCCTAACCCTACCCTCACTACAGCACCTACTATGGGTCATGGGAATTTGGCACTACCCCGGAACTCAGGCTCTGCAACTCTTAACACTATTTAACCGAAACGAATGTGACGAGTGAGTGAGAGGAGGCAGGTGCAGGGTTGCCTGGTTTGCGTAATAAAACCAGTCCAATTGCTATTCAAAACCCACCCAATCACGAAAACTAGTCCAATCATGTACCGTGGAAAACTTGCCAACACTGAAGAAAAGAGAGCATGAGAAAGCTCAGCTGGTATCGGTGTATGCCTTCTTGATTATTATATTTTTTCTCAAAGATCTGAGGTAAATTATCCATTGTCTCTTTCATTAGGGCTATTAAAGTCACACATAGTGATATTCAAAATGAAATGAAACCGTTTTATATTCAGTACCTGAGGTTATCATTGTCATTGGACATATCATTTGTATGTTCTTGTTCTTGTTGCAGAAATAGAAAGCGTTTAATAATAGAGTCCCCAGTTGCTGGTCACGTATCACTGTCGCAGCTGGTTAGGACAAAAACTTTTGATTAATATGGAAAAGGTACTTTTTTCATATGTTGCATTGTCACGTCTGGTTAGGACACAGTGCTAGGCCACGAACACACTGAAAAACGTGACGAGACACTGTTTTGTTCAGCGTTTGCTATTTAACAACAGCATCTGCTCTACATGTGAGCCACTTCTTGGTTCATTTCACGTCAGACATGATTGAAAGTAATGACTGTCTTTTTGAGTGATTCTATAAAACTAGCATATAAGAGACAGGCTGATAATGTACATTTGATTTCATAACACTTCATTCGGACTGAAAGGGTTCAAATATATCATTTCTGAGATGTAGTGGTGTGGGAAAAACCTTATTTGCCTACCCTTATTTAGCTGCAGTGTGTACATGGCCTTTGTGAAGTTCCCTTTTTCTTCTTATTACTGCTGTTTTGAGGTCAGTGTTATTCTTCCCTCCCTAAATGTAGTACTAATTTCCTTACTAATACATTTTTCTCCTTAAAGGGATAGTTCACCTCAAAATGAAAATTCTGTCAGTAATTACTCACCTTTTGCTTTCCCAAACCTGTAAGACATCCGTTCATCTTCGGAACACAAATTAAGATGTTTTTGATTAAATCTGAGAACTGGCTCACTCCTCCATAGGCTTCTATTGTAATTGAAACTTGCCGGGCCAGAAAGTTAGTAAAGACATTGTTAAAATAGTCCAAGTGACTACAGTGGCTTAATTAAAATTCAGACTAATTACTGGGTGAACTATCCCCATCCAGCATGAGTCATTTATCTCACATCAGCAAAAAGAAATAACCTAATTTCTTCAGACATTGCTTTAAAAAAAACAAGATTATTTATTCCATCCCATCCCTTCAGTCACAGACGCACCTCCACCACCGCCCCCTGCAGAAGAGGAGGAGTTTGAGGAGGCAACCCCACCCCCGCCGCCTCCAGAGGACTATGAGGATGAGGAGGGTGATGATGAGGAAGAGTCAGCAGTGGTGGAGTACAGTGACCCTTACGCTGAAGAAGACCCGCCATGGGCGCCTCGCAGTTACCTGGAGAAAGGCATGCTACTGTTTTTCTCACAGCGCATTTTAAACACTCATTTGGCCATTTAGAAAAGCTTTTTCTATGTTTGTAATAGGTTTATAAGTACGGCTCCTATTGAGTTGAATGAAGAAAGGTACATAACATTATAATGTACAGTATTAAAGGTTGTATCAGCGATTCCCAGACCATAGACTGTAAAAAAAAATCTGGACGTAGTATCCGTGATGTCACCCGTAGGTTTCTGAAGAGCGTTTTTGAAGCCTAAAGTGGGTGGGGCTGGCCGTCGCCATCTTGGCAGTGCGTCACCTCTCGTCACTAAAATAAAATGGGCAAGGGGGCGGGACGTGGGTGGAGCTGAGGTGCTAATGCTGTATGCTACCGCCCTCGCGCTGAAGTGACAGCCGATTGAAGAATTAAAGCCAAAAGTTAAAGTTCACATTTTTGCCCTTCGAAATATTATAATAGTTTAAGACGTAACTAAAAGTGAGACTATTTACTTTACTTTTTTTGTCAACTGTATTAATCTTACAAGGGTGCAATTAGTTAAGAGCATGTATACAACAGTAACGTTACATAACACAGATCACACACATTTCTCACAACATACAAACACTCAACTATGTGTATCGTGATGCATAATTATTCTGCTAGTTAAAAATGTATTATCATGCAGACAGTAACTTACAATATTGCTCTAAGCTTGTGCGTGGGACAGTGATTCATGCACATACATGCGCACAACCGGCACATCCTGGAACTTAACTGTCAATTTTGTCCCCGCCCCCTTTTGGGGGAAACAAACTAGACTCCCCATAGACTTCAATACAAAATAACAGCAAAAAACAATGTCCGTACACAGCCGACAGGCGTAAATAACTTAAGAAATCACTTATATAAAACATGTCAAGTAATTATGTCCACCCTGCCTGGCGTGAAAGATACATTTTTTTTTATGCCCGTTATCAACTAGCCCAGGCTACCTGCCATCATCATCATAAATTCATTATATATACATTAAGGTTTTTGCTTTAAAAAACAAAATAAAATCATTCACTGGCTTGCCTGGTGACTCGATGAGGTACAAGTAAATGTCCGGGTAAGACACCTCTGGCCACTGTGTGGGGTTGTTGCACCAATTTTTTATATTGGCCAAATTAAGTTTGTGTATGTATCTTTCACACTCTATGACAGGCAGGGTGGACATATAATTACTTGACATGTTTTATATAAGTGATTTCTTAAGTTATTTACTCCTGTCGGCTGTGTACGGACGTTGGTTTTTGCCGTTATTTTGTATTGAAGTCTATGGGGAGTCTAGTTTGTTTTCCCCCAAAAGGGGGTGGGGACAAAATTGACAGTTAAATTCCCGGATGTGCCGGTTGTGCGTATGTCAGTCAGCAGGGCATCGCACGTCAAGTTCGTAAAGCGCTTTATTCAGTCCATTTTACAATCTGATTTTGGCTGCCTTTCAATTTCTCAGATGGGTTAAACCAAAGATATTACCTCAGAAGTTCAAGTAAATGCACTAGAAATCCACGCTCACTCAAGGGTGTGCATCTATTGCATGGACTGAGAGAAAGCACTGAAATTGTCAGACATCCATTAGTGCATGTGAGGGAAACAGCTGGAAATACAGCGCTGGTCGTTCTCTTCATACTCGACATGACGAAATCCAACGGCATGCACAGGCGAAGGTATAATACGTGTATTAAATTGTATGAAATAATCCTGGAAAAAGCACAAACACAGCTGAGGGTGACGCTAACAGACAGCAGACAAACGACTAGCAGTGAAAGCAGCGGCAATCCAGCTGTCACTCAAGTGGCCACGCCCTTAATTATTCAGAACTTTAAGACTTAGGCCCCGTCCACACTACTGCGTTTTCGTTTAAAAACGGAGAATTAAAACGAATGCCATCTCCGTTCACACCAGCGTTTTTATTAGAAATGATCTCCGTCCACATTAAAACGACTGAAAACGCGGATCACGTGACCATTCACCAACACTGGGCATGCGCGTGCCGGTGTAAACAGTGATTGACGAATCAGGGAAGGATACGTCATGACTGATAACACCCAATCATAGAGCCGAGCGTGAGCCTCTGCGTCAGCGTTTCTGAAGTTCTCCTTTTTGTCTCGTCCACACTAAAACGCCCTCCGGATATTCAAAACGCAAAACGCAGCTGCAGCGTTTCTAAACTTCTCCGTTTTAGTTCTTCGTTTTTCCCGTTTTAGTCTGGACGGGAGGTGCAAACGTAGCAAAAGGTCTCCGTTTTTAAACGAAAACGCAGTAGTGTGGACGGAGCCTTAATATTATTTAAACGGATGAGTTGTAAAAAAATTCACCCCCCTCACAGTCGTCACGAAGGGCAAAATTAGCGATATAGACCAAAATAACTATTTGCCACCAGGCTGTAAACATGTTTTTTTTTGCTGTGAAGTTACACATTTTAACTTTAGGGAGATACAGATTTGACTCGCTTTTGCAGCCACTCGATGAATTGCAGTTTAATTCGAGAGAGACGGGGAGGTTGCCGCTTGGCCCAAACATAAATGATCACGCGTTTTTTTTGTCTGCCTGCTTATGGGGTGGGCAGCTAGCGGATCGTTAGGAAAGATTCGATGAATGTGATCATTTATGTTTGGGCCTGAAATCACTAATACAACCTTTAACAGTAGATACACGTTTAAGTTTAAAAATTGGCTATGCACAATTAAATATCCAGCATAGAGCTTTAACAATAAATAAAACATTTCTAATATCTAATATTTCTGTAGAAACTATTTCTAAATGGCTGTAAGGTAGGAGAGGTCGTGCTGTATTTTGAACAATCACAGCGTTTCAAAGTGTTTCTAACAGCATCCTCTTACTCATCTTTCAGTATCTACAGCGTAGCACAGTCTGCCATACAGTAAAACTCTGAATAAAAAGATAACCAGACTTCTGTTTTCCTTATCAGTGGTGGCGATTTACGACTACGCGCGCGACAAAGAGGACGAGCTCTCCTTCCAGGAGGGGGCGATCATTTACGTCATCAAGAAGAACGACGACGGCTGGTACGAGGGTGTGATGTGCGGCACCACGGGCCTCTTCCCGGGGAACTACGTGGAGTCCATCATGCATTACGCTGACTGAGCCACTGCTCCTCTGCCCATCATCTTCCTCATTCAGACACACGGAGTTCAGCTACACTACGTCATGCACAGGCTTGTTCAAAACAAACCAACCGAGAGCTGCAGGAAAAACGAAGGCGTCGTGACCAGTGGCGAAGATACGAATGGGAGAAAAACTGTTGAAATGTGTAAGATAAATGCGTTAGGAACTTTTATTCATCTCTTAATTTCAATCTCTTAGAAACATGTATCAGAAAAGTGTTGGTTTGCTTGACTTGTGTTGATGGTGATCGCTTTGCTTTCGCTCCTATCCGTCTGTATTCTGAAGAAGGACAGTCATCCTCTTTCATGTCATCACGAAATTGAAAGACGGCCACCTTGGACGTGCACGTTCCTTTTACATCACCTGCTGTCACTGACCAGCAAATGAGAGAGACGCTTTTGCCAAGAATGACAGAACAGGGATTTTATGCATTGTGGTGCCAGGTCATATAGAAACACTTCGATACAGGTGGGCTTTTTTTTTTTTTTCTTTAGTTTGTCATTGTGTTGGAAGTTGAATTTCTTTTTTGTTTTGTTATATTTTGAGTGCAGTTCATTTTGAAGTCTTCAGCAGGAGGACATACCAAAGGATTTCAGTGGCGTTTGGGATCACCAACGGGACCGGCTACAACCTTAAAATACTTTTCTCGCCATTCCTTTACGTTCGTTACTTTCCGACAAGATTTTATTGCTTGAAATATTTGCAAGTATGTGTATTCTTTGTATGTATGATAAAAAAAAAACACTATAAATTCGTTCAGGAAGTTTGTGCCATAAAGATACGTTGGTAGATGGTCATATTTTTGGACGCGAGAGGTCGTTTCTTGAGTCTCAGCACCGGATGTGGTGTTCTTCAGGAAGAAAATGTGTATTGTGTGATCTTTAACCTCCGATTCATCCCTCTTGACCAACTGTGGACTTAAAGATACAAGACTATTCTATATGTATGTTATATATTGATTTATATTATAGAAATACTATTGTGTTGGTGTATGACTGGTGTAGAGACAAGAGAACCCCATTTATCTGCAATAACAAAGGCACAGTTAGAAAGCCCTCAGTCGACGAGCTAGAGATTTTTTTAAAGCACAAGAGATAAACGTGATCTTAGGGAGACCTTACAAAATGTGAAGAACAGACTTTTTTTCTTTTTTGATGAAGAGATATTAAACCGAAACCAGCCCAAGTTTTAAAGCATCCTCATATACCCACATGCAGATAATGTGGAACAAACTGTACCAATGCACAGAGACTTTTTCTATAAAGTACTTTGATGTCTATATGTAAGTGTGAGTGTGTATGTGAGCGTGAAATGGATCGATTTCATTGTTTATGGATCATTGGTGACTGACTTGCTTGTCTGTGTGCAAATCTTTATTTGAAATGAAAGGTCTGTGGTGAGGGTGTGTGAATTGAGTCTTGCATGTTGATCATTTCTGTGATTTTCCTGCTGATGGAGAATAAACTGGATATATCTGGTCTTCTTGCTCTCGTTTCCTCTGAGTTTTCTCCGGGGCCCAGACTTCGAGATCGTGAGAGGTTCATAACTCTGGCCCTCGAGATCCGCTTTCCTGCAGCGTTTAGCTCCAAGCTTGACCTGCCTGGAACTTTCTAGTGACCCTGATTTTGTTGTTCAGGGCCAGAGTTCAGAAGCCCTGCTGTCTCCAGACGACCATATGTTTGTCCCATTTTAGCCACAATAGCTTCTTCAAAAGGGAGGGGTGAGCAGTGGGCTGAGCCGTTAGTGCAACTCGTAACCGAACCGCTAGATGTCGCTAAAAATCACACACTGCACCTTTAAGTGAAACTAAAAGGAAATGTCTATACAGTAAAAAATTGACAAAAATAACAATCCCATTTAACCCTGAAACCGTATTCTGGACAACTATGGGCAAAATAGTTGATTTAGTTTTTAAAAAATACTTCCCTTGATCTGAGTGGTACAAGACTTGGCTACTTTTCCTAAGTTTTCCTCCAGAACACACATTTTTTGACCTCTTTTTTTTTTCACCTCAAGTAGGTGAAAAAAAAAAAAATCCTTAAAGGGTTACTTCACCCATTTGCATTAAGCTTTGTATCTTTAGAAACCCAGTTATATTTTTGAATGGTCATGGTTTATTCCCTTATTTTCCCCTGAGATGGGAGAAATAAGGATTTAAGTGTTTTATTTCCTGCTTATCGTGACGTAAAAATCGTCATTTTGCGTCACGATAAGCAGGAAGGCACATTTCATTGAAATGTCAACAGACTACAATGATTAGCTCATTATTATTCAAGGGTGTGGCACCCACTCACACACAGGCCTATTACAGAACAGTGGGTGGGACTTCACTTGCAGAAACTGAAATCAATATCCGCCATCTTGTTTGGAAGCTAAGCTAACAAGCCCTGTGGAGATATGAAGTTATGATAATGATGGAAGAAACTAAACATGATATGGAAGAAGAGGGTTTTGAAAGTCTGCTGCTCGAATCCGATGTTCGTGGCTATCTTTACGAGCCGCAGTATAGTTTAGAACAGCTGAGGCTGATGAAGGAGCAGGAGACGCCCGGACTGGGTCGAGCTCGGCGGCCTGCTGTTGCCTGTACTCTCGCTGCGTGTCACGGCCTACGGAGTCCGTCTGCTGCAGGGAATTTCAACGATGGCAATTTCTCCTGGAGGAAATCTCTGAATCAGACGAGCACACGGACGTTTGTGTTGTGATAGTTTCGCCTTCAGAACATCCAGGTATCATGCAGTAATTCACCATACAGAAATAAATACAAACGCGGAGTAATTCATTAACGTTAATGTGTTTACAAATGTAATGTGAACGGGTTTGATGTTGTGGGAAGAAAGAGGCATGATCCGGCGAACATTTAAACATTTTAATAGTAAAATTAACAAATACAAAACGAAAGTAAGCCAGCGTTACACACAACAGAAACAAAACATAAATTCAGGCCTGTTTCTCTCTCGATCTGCCGTCGTCGCTCCCCATTTTATGCATTCGCTCCTTCTAATCGTGAGAGACGCACCGGCGCGCGCCTCACAGCTGTCTTTCACCCACGCCACCGGCCTCGCGCAGCGCGCTGTCCTCTTACATCCCTCGCCCTCGATCGTTCTGCTCGCCACAGCCAACTAACTAGACATTTTGTTTGAAATGAATTTCAAACTCTTTACTCTGGTAACAGCTAATGTATGTTAGCGTTGTAGACGGAAGAGTGTCCCTGCGTCCCAATTCGCATACTATCCGTCCTAAATAGTATTCGAAAATAGAATTAGTATGTCCCAAATCGTAGTATGTTGAAATGAGTGTTTCAAAGATACCCGGATGGTCTACTTTATCCGGTCAGAATCCGAAGTGTAGATCGATGCACACTCTAACGGCTGATATTGCCCACAACCCATTGCGCGTTGGAACTACAAACACGAGTAAAAAGTGTTAAAAAACTACAGACACGTAGTCGATACGGAGGACGCGCGAGTCTCCGCGGTTGTGTAGAGAGGTTTAGATAAAGAGCTTTGAGTGATTAATTATCAGTATCTAACCTGACGAATTTATTCAATGCTGTCCACATTATATTGCATTTGCAGCAGCACTGTGAACTTTTGTAAAGACACGTTTAGCCCATAGCTGTCAACCCTCCCGTTTTTTCCGGGTTTCTCACGTATTTTTGCTCTTTTCCCGCTGTATTCCCGTTTTAGTATTTTCCCGTAAAATATCCCGTATTTTTACTCTGATCGTGTGAGACGTACGAGCTCGGACTGATTCGTCTTGAAGTCGTTTATCCTCGGATGGGGCGGCGCGCGCTGGCCGGAGACACAATGGCGTGTCCGTTTTTTATTTCGGCTCCCATGTTAACAGATTAGAGCTTGCACACTGCCCGCGTGACACGCGCGTCTCCAGAAAACGCGTGCGTGCTAGAAATAGAACTGACGCCTATTTTTTCACGCGACACGCAAGCGTGTTGAAAGCGTTTCCAGGCAAAAAAATAAATAAAAAATAGGAAACGATGTTTATATGTCATTTTGTACTCGAATAGCCTACATTTTACATTTTGTTGTTTGAAAGTCAAGGTTTTTACATAAATTCAGATATCAATGTAATTTAAACAAATAATAATTATAATAATCGATTTATATTGCCATTAGTTTTGCCTATATATAATTTAATGTCATATAACATATGAATAAAATATCTTTTCTTTTTTTTCATTTGTTTCTTATGCTCTTAACAATGTGATTACACGAAGAAGAAGAAAAAACTTTTGGAAAAAAAACATTCTGGGCCTCAGGAGGATATAAAGATGGGATAGTACGGTGGCCGAGAGGTGCAAAACAAATCACAATTATAAAAACAAAAAAACAAGTCAGAAAACACAACGACAATTCAGAAAACAAAATAACAATTCAGAAAACACAACAACAAATCTGAAAACAAATTAACAAATCAGAAAACACAAAAACAAATCTGAAAACAAATTAACAAGTCAGAAAACACAACGACAAGTCAGACAAAACGGAAAAGGTAGGTATATGTGGCGAATGGAATACTGATCGCTGATTGGACGAGACATCTGTCAATCAAGACATACAGGCAGAAGAAAGATCGATTCGTGTGTGCATGTGTAAATATTAGCTGTATCGTCTAGGCAGCCCGCCAATCATCTCCATGCGGCCCGAGAGCACTCCAACCTCCCCCTCCTATTTTCTGGTGGTGCGGCTAAATTTGGTTTTATATGCGCGTGGCCGCAGTGGCGCGTGCAGCTGTATACGCACTGTGTGTGTACCACGAGCGCTCCGACTGACCTGAGAAAAACGTTTTCAGTCCGAATATTTCAGCAGTTAATATGTGTGTCCCGTATTTCTGTCGACTGAACCAGCGATATTAATCATTCGTTGGTTCGATTCCTATCTCCTTTTCACGAATTGGCCAAACGCGCGTGCATAACAGTAGGAAACGATTCGGATTCGTTCGGACCGTTCTGTCACTGAATCATCTGAAGCGGTTTCTCGGTCAGTAAGAACAAATAGAGAACAAAATAGCGCTGGTTTCAGTTGTTTCACTAGTTTACTTTGAACTAGGCAGTGCGGTCCAGTGGATAACCGAACGCAAGCTTAAAGGAGTTGCGTTTTCTAATAGTGGTAGGAAGATTTTAATTTGAAAAGTTTTGTTCTCCATAATATCACTAAATTAGCCGGCTAAATAGACAGCTAATATTTACACATACACATGCGAATCAATCTTTCTTCTGCCGCAGGCGCAGTCTGCTGTACTTTCTCTATGTCTTGATTGACAGATGTCTCGTCCAATCAGCGATCAGTATTCCATTCGCCACATATACCTACCTTTTCCGTTTTGTCTGACTTGTCGTTGTGTTTTCTGACTTGTTAATTTGTTTTCAGATTTGTCGTTGTGTTTTCTGACTTGTTAATTTGTTTTCAGATTTGTCATTGTGTTTTCTGATTTGTTAATTTGTTTTCAGATTTGTTGTTGTGTTTTCTGAATTGTTATTTTGTTTTCTGAATTGTCGTTGTGTTTTCTGACTTGTTTTTTTGTTTTCATAATTGTGATTTGTTTTGCACCTCTCGGCCACCGTAGATAGGCTACAATAACAACAGAGTGTCTTCTGAGTGACGGTCCACCACCAGGCTAAATATAGGCTCTTTAAAACTACACAAAATGTGTAAATGTAATTGAAATAAACACAGCCCAATTCCCTATTTTGTGGGTTTTGGAAGATGTGTTGAAATTGTTGTCGTAAATGCAAGAGCAACACACCGCTAATCCAAATGTAGATTTTTTTTCTTTAAATGACACTAGTTTCTAGGCTAGTTATTAAATCTTTAGACTTTTAAGGATTAGTGCTTTATTTTTAAAGTTTGTGGGTAAGAATCGTGTAAAAAAAAAATCCCTTATTTTGTGGATGGAATCCGGGAAAACTCCCTTATTTTCAATGTACAATGTTGACCGCTATGTAGCCATTACGTTTTAAATGCATCATTATATTCAAATTGCAAACACATGAGGAGAGCATGAAAGACCCACAACTGGCAGATGAACGTGCTCTCCGAAACGGTAGGAAATAAAATTAGATAGAATGGAGGATTTTAACTGTGACAAGATGATTGACAGGGCAGTGCGGTGACAGGACGCACGCAGCACGCGACAGAGCTGTCCGTTAAAGATGGCGTGATAGTACGTCCCAAAGCTTGCCTACTCTTTTGCTACACACTCAAAAGTATGTACTTTTTCCTCACAAAAAGAGTACATACTTTTAGGGCGTAGTATAAGTAGGCGAATTGGCGCGCAGCATGTGTTTGCGTCTCTGTTTGCGCTGTTCCGGTGGGTGGGTTAGTGGGTGTGGCTTGCGGAGCTGTGCAATGTTGGGGAATTCTGGGAACTATAGTTTTTTAACACAAAGGCGCCCCTTGGTTATTTTCTGTCTTTTCTCGGTCAAGAGGGCACCAAATGAAAAAATGATTTTACATTTCGACT